CCCCAAAACCCCAAAACCCCAAAACCCCAAAACCCCAAAAGTTTATTCTAATATTGAAATTAGCCAATTCAGCTTAAAAATATTTTAATATTCCTTTACAGGAGGCATAAAGGTAAATTTTTCACTATCAACATAGTCTTTCGTTTTTTCTTTTACATATTCTTGATCGATTTTAGATTTATAAAGATTAATCGTGTCTAAATTCTGAAGAAAGCCATTAGACTGAGATAATCCTTCAATTAAGTGTTCGACTCCATAGCCATTTTCTGGATAAATATTTCCTCCCAATACTAACTCCTTTATGTTTGATCCTTCAAGGGAATCTCCGAATTCAGGTACAGATTCGAGGTCGATGCTTCAGACTATAATTAATAAAGAGCGAACATGTTTAAACTCTTTAAAAAGAGTCACCATTTGGTGCTGACTTAATCTCCAACGGAGAATATAAAGTTCTTGAGTGACTCTACTACTTAGGTTTATTATAGAATCGAAGTAGTAATTAATTCGTAAAAAAGGACAAGCTACTCCAGATAATTTAAAATATCCACAGTTTTCTGGAAAATAATTTGCTAGAAAGTTATTTGCAACGGCATGTTCTGGATCATGAATCTTGAACTCAAATATCTCAAACTCACATGGTCTTTTTTTAATAAATGAAAGAATTTTTATATTCTTTTTTATGTTTAATTTTACCGTGATTTTATTCTGAGAGGATATTGAGATTTGATCTTTCCATCTTGGATCTGAAGCAAATTCTCTGAAATCACCAAAATTAGAAAGATCAAATTCAGAAAGCACCAGATCATCTGACTTTCACAATTTCAGTTTATATAGCTTTTTCTTTATAAAGTATTCAGAAAGAGACTTATATTTGAATTGGCACAAATAACTTTTTCTTATTGAATAAATTTCTTGTTCAGCTTCATCGACAAGGTATTTAATTTCCTCTTCAGTGTATTTTTCAACTAAACCAGTCTTTTCTCACACTTTTGAGCTATTTGTCTCGGAAGATTTGAGATTTTGGGTCTTGCTTTCCTCTTTTCCGCTAGATCCAGATAAATTTTTGGATTTTGAGCCATAAGAAGTATCATTATTTTCAATATCAGTCATGAAGTTTGAATTAGAAGTAGATGTCTTTATTGAACTTGAAGTATTTTCTACTTTGAAATCGTCTGTTTTGTGAGATACTGTATTTTGGATGTTATCTCAATTATTTCCATCCAGCGAATAATCACTTTCATCATATTGGTTTAAATATTCATCGGAGCTCAAATTTTCATAAGAAATATTCTCTTCGTGAGGCTTGCCTTTTTGATTAGGATCACAAGCAAGAATATCCGAAGATGATTCCAATGATTCTTCATATGAGTCAGGATATTTCCTCGTAAATGCATGTTTAGATTTATATTGACTATTTGGTATCATTTGCCTATTTGGTTCAGAAACTGAAAAGCAACTATTCTCTTCTTTCTGTGTAGAAATGGCATCTACATTAGATTCAATCTTTTTGAAATTAGTCTCAAGTTCTTTATAGACATAATCCTTTTGTAAATACTCTATAATTTCTTCGGCTTTTGAATCAACTTGCTTATTACTCCAGTATGTAGGAAACCTATTCTCCATGATATATTCTAGGATCTCTATTTTTAACATATTTCCAATTAAATTAATATTTCTTTCACAGTCATTCAAAGTTGGGACCCAATAGTGTTCAGAATTCAAAATATCTGAATCTAAATTATCATCAATTAATTTTGATATAATTGGCTTAATATCATAAGAATCGCTAATTTTGCTCAAAGATTCTCACCATTCGACTCAATTCATTAATATTTCATTTTGAATTAACACAAAACATCCACCACGAATTTCATATGCAGTGGATTTTGCATAAAGAATTGAATCTTCGAGTATCATATTTAATGAATTAAACCTCTGGATACATTTTGTGCATGCTTCGCTTTGGAGGATATTGAATATTTCTAAAATCATTCTGAGATTTAATTTGAAGAGTGGAAGATATTTAGTGCAAAAGGTGTAAGTCTTGTGAAACCTATGCTTGAATCAGAGATTAATTCATATTTCAGGAAGATAGTAGAAGGATTCTTTAATTCATTCTTCATAATGCTCGCAAATAGGAGCTGAATTAGTCACATCAATATATGGTTCATACGGAGTGTTCTTTTTATTCAGCCAATAGTTTTTAATTTGATGAATTTTAATATCTTTGAAGCAATTATTCTCTATCAAGGTTGAGTTTATTTTCAAATATCTATAATAAGATTCGAGAATCTCTTCTTGCTCAGCAGAGTTCAGCGTTATATTTGAGTCCTCAATTTTTCAAGCATTATCATGATGATTAATACTATCGTTATCAGGTAAATCATCATTTTCTTTTAGAATATTATAAGCAAATACCTTTTCTCTAGCATTAGGCTCTTTTACCCTAGCTTTGTTATTACTATAGGACCTATAGAGAGCTTTCTCTGCATTTATAACAACAAGTATGTTCTTGGAAAGGTTGGAACTGTGAGATCATTCCTTCTTGTTGTAAATTCACTCAATTAAATAATAGCTCTCAAAAATTCAAGATCTTATCTCCTCTCAAAATAAAAAGCAAATGTCTTCTTTGGTCTCTTCTGTAGATATCTGATTTTTACACAAAGAGAGTTGTCCAATATTTTCATTAGAAATTGATAGAAGTTCAAATAATGTTTTTGGATCTAAATATCGGGATAAAAGATTATAATTAAAATCCATCTCCTTCTCTTCTAAGAATTTTTCTTTCATCAGTATCTTTTTTACTATTCTTTTCTGTAAATATCTCGGATCCTCTTTTCAATAGTCTTTCATATCATATTTCCATTTTCCTAAATACATCGCCCATCTATTTACATTTATTCCATAAAGATTTAAATCTCCTCTCAAGATATTCTCTTACTAAACCATATACCTTTAAATGAAACTGATCCTTTTCATTACTTTCTTTCTGAGCAAAGACTTTTTTAATAACTTTCTGTGCGTTTCTTATAAACTTAATATCGTTCTTAGTTATTGAAAGGATATCCAAGACATCCACATATTGGTGTGATCTTTTAAATGTCTCAATATGTCGATCCCAATGCCACAAACATAACCACTCTTCCTCATCCTCTTTCTCCCAGCAACAAATGGGCTTGTACAGACATCCTTGTCTGCTACAAGTAATTTCTTGGGCTTCCATATTTTAATTATTATAAGATTTCCAGATTATTTGCCCCTTTAGGGGTTTTGGGGTTTTGGGGTTTTGGGGTTTTGGGG